ATTATGAATAAAAAACAGGCTGCATCTTCAGGCATCCAAATACTTCTCTCTTCTCTTACTCTCTAGATATACTTAAAGATAAAAATACAGGAAAGTTATGGACCAACAAGAAGATACGAAAGCTATGAATCAACAAGGAGATATCAAGAACCTACAAAAACAGGTATGTCATATTATAATTATGAGTAGCTAAATTATTATATTCCTGATAATCTCTAATATGTAAATTATAATTATCCATCATATAATAGTACTGTTATAGAAATCATCTTGAGAAAGTTTGCCATGAAAATATGCTAAGAGTAGGTAAGCCCAGACTATGCATCCTAAGGTTGAAACCGGTAGGCAGAGAGGCCGTTTAGGGGAGTAAACAAAGTTGAAGCGCTGTTAGGGTAACTGATTGAAGCAGAAAATCATGGTAGTGACCAGAAAAGATGATCAAAATAACTTATTATAATATGATGAATAAGGATAATAGACATAGAGATTAAAAGGAATATGTTTAGCAAATCATATGATAAAATGAACACTTACTTAATAGATGATGATCTTAGCTATAAAATACTTATACTAAATATACTAAAAAATATTGATAATGATGTAAGAAGAATAATCTATGAGAAATTACTTACTTTTGAAATAATAGAAATAATGGATCAAAATTGGACAGAATTAATTATACCAGAAATAGACTTATATGAATTAGATCTATATTCTGATAACACATAATGAATAATATATATCTACAATATTGGCAATAAACTACCGACAGCATAGAACTACTGACAAATTTAGTAAAAACTAATATAGAAGAATACTAAAGAACCCAAGATATAGAATATATAGAATATATATTAGAAAGTTTAAAAGAAATAATTAGATTAATTTCACTACAAAAAAAATATTATGAAAAAGCTTTTACAGATCACTGCAACTTTGGGTTCAACTGAAAATAGTTTTTGCTTTTCATTTAATTTCAGAAATGTAAGACTGATTATTCTCTTCTCTCTCCCTTCCCCAATACATCAGTCACCACACACGGAATACAAGACAGAATCCCAATGCTTTTCCCAATTTCTAGCAATTCGAGGCCTTTAATTTTATTTTAAAAAATATACGAAAATTCCACTAGCCGCTAGCCGCAAGCCCTCAATTCGAATTTCCTTCATTGTTTCCCCTGAAATGGCAGACTTGAAAGAAGAAAACATATTCACATGCATGGCCATGTATCTTTGTCCCCACTTCTTTTAATATAAAATAAATTTCTAATTAAAAATTAATTCACCTAACTAGCTAGTTGTGACACAGTGTTGCCTCCACACATGTAAATCATGGCGGTGGTTGTTATGACGATGATGGTGATGGCCACCGTAACATCTCCGAACACCATCTCCACTGCCACCGCTTGTCACCGGAAACTTCCACTCTGCAACCTTGTCTTCTTCTTCTTCAACTGTTTCAATCATCTCTTCTTCATCGTCTAGGTGTTCCTCTCTTTCCAGGGTAAAATCTTCGTTTTCCTCTTCTTCTTCATCGCGAATGAGATGTAATCTCAGCCGTCCATCTTGGCGGGAAGCAAGGAGAGTTTCGGGCCGACCAATTTTCACCTCTGTCAACTCTAACCTTCCATCTTTTCTCACCGCACGCATGAAGAAATTTGGCTTTCCGTCTTGGTTTAAGGATGATAATGGCGGCGGAAACTTCTTAATTTCTTTCTTCTCCGAATTAATTGATCTTTGCCAGCACCTTGAATTAGAATAACTAGCCATATATGATTTCCTAGGATTGAAATCATCTTGATCATGATCCTCAATTTGATCATCCACTGTCCTCTCATCGGAGCTCTCGAAACCTAGAGACTCAGTACAAGACATTAGTCCATCAACACTTCCACCAACATCGTCTAAGAACCCAATTCCGCCGGGATCTTTTTTCTCGCCGGCGGTGGTAGGCGGTGTCATGGAGGTGGACTCGAGGTAATTGGTTGGATTTTGAGTGTCAATTGAACCGCCGGTGAAAATATTTCGGCGAGGGAGGGAAAAGTCTAACACTGTTCCATTGTCTTTGGCGTTTGCTAAATTTAAGAAAGGGTGAACGTTTTTGTTGCAAAAACTCATCATATAATATAATACTATGCCTTAGCTTCGAAGATCGGATATATATAAGGGTTTGAAAACTAATAAATAATTCAAGAATAGAATATATTAAAATTCCTATATTTGAATGAAATTGAGAAAAGAAGAGATGAGGCACTAACGACGTCCGCACACTATAGATAGATAGGGCTAAAGAGAAGGACTATCTATATATGGAAAAGAATAATTTGGGGCAGACATTATTAGCAACTTGCAAGAGACTCGGAACTTGTTTAATTCAGCCCGCTATTCTCTTTACGTCTGCACCAATTCTTGGCATCAAACGACTTCATTCATTATAATAATAATTCGCGAGTATCTTAGTAGAATATATTTGTCCTTGTAAGTACTAAATTGAGCAATTTTTATCTTCATTTAACTTTTGATATGATATTACCGTCTCGTTTGGAAAAGTCTCTTCGAGTCCGGGCGACGTAACGTAATTCTAATATAAAAGTAATTTAATTTTTTCTTAATGAATTTAGAACCTCTATTGCACGTTGAAACTTCATTAAAGACAGATAAATACAAGATCATTTTCTAACGATAAGTTATGATGGATGAAAAGTATAACTAAAGGGAAAATTGAATAATTTTTAATATATTTTAAAAAGGACTGCTAAATCTAATGTATAAAGTATATAAATAAACTAAATTGATTCCCAGGCCACATTAATGTAAATAATGTTATTATTATTAAGAGGGCAGCATGAAAAATGTGATTTAATGGTAAAAAGATTATTTTAAAAGTACAAAGTACTGTATAATATTTATTGATTGTGCATAGCAAAAAAGTGGTCGAAAGTATGGGAATTAGAAGGAAAGATGGAGTATGGTGGGAAGAGTGCCAGCAAGGCAGAAGACACAGAGAGAAATGAGCTGGATGATGAGGAGAGAGAGAGGCAATCGGTTTTGGGTCCCACCGCCCTATTAATCAGATGAAGAGTTTGAGGCTTCCTACTATTATCCTTCCCACTTTTCAACAACACCATGCATCCTCATCTATTTCTTCTCCCTATCCCNATATATATATATATATATATATATGAATTTATTCTTAGAGTTAACATGATAAATTTTCAAAATCAATAACCGGGGATATTTCATTTTCTAGGTATAATATATTAGACTATTAGAAAAAAAACAATAATACTAACAATTCAAAATTTTCGAATAAAGACTATAAAGTAAATAAACTGAAGACAAGTATAGATATATATTGATATATTATTCAACTTCAAACTGATGTACATAATGAACTGGAAACTCCTCTATTTATAGAAGAAATGAAGCAGTTGCGAGGCTTTTCTTTAGCTGCTTGTAAGCTGCCTGCATGAGCTGCTTGCAACCTGCCTGTTTAATAAGAAACTGTTGCAAATCATTTCATTGAGTTGTTTGCAACCTGCCTGCATCAGCTGCTTGTAGATAAATTTCTACCAAATAGATAATCTTCTTCAGGAAAATTATCTATAGCAGACTAATAAATAGACATCCACAATATAATTATTTTTATAACACTCCCCTTTGAATGTTCATTAAAAGATATTGTCTCGTTAAAACCTTACTAGGAAAAACCCAGTGAAAAAAATTCTAGTGAAGGAAAAAAAGTATACATATTTAGTAATATGCATTTCTAGCTGCCTCATTAAAAACCTTACAAGAAAAATTCCACGGAAAAAATCTTAGTAAGGGAAAAAGAGTACAATGTGTACTTCACTCCCCTGATGAAAATCTTATTTCAAATATTTGAGTCTCCGCATTTTAATTTTGTATACCATCTTCTCAAAGTTGAAGTTGGCAAAGATTTAGTGAACAAATCTGTTGGATTGTCACTTGAACGGATTTGTTGCACGTCGATGTCACCATTTTTCTGAAGATAATGTGTGTAGAATAATTTTGGTCAAATGTGCTTCGTTCTATCTCCTTTTATAAATCCTCCCTTTAATTGGGCTATGTGCAGCATTGTCTTCGTATAAAATTGTGAATAATTTATCACATTCCAAACCACATTTTTCTTGAATAAAATGAATCACCGATCTCAACCATACGCATTCCCTACTTGCTTCAGGAATAACTATTATCTTAGCATGATTTGAAGAAGTGGCAACAATTGATTGCTTTGTGGAGTGCCATGATATGACAGTATCTCCACATGTAAACACGTAACCGGTTTGAGATCGGGATTTATGGGGATCAGATAAATAACCTGCATCTGCATAACCAACAAGATATGCACTACCTTTGTTAGCATAAAACAAACCCATATCAAGAGTTCCATTTAAATATCGCAAAATATGTTTAATTCCGTTCCAATGTCTCTGTGTAGGAGAAGAGCTATATCTTGCTAGTAAATTAACAGAAAAATGCTATATCAGGCCTTGTAGCATTAACAAGATACATAAGTGCACCAATTGCACTGAGATATGGTATTTCAGGACCAAGGAGTTCCTCATCCTCTTCTAGAGGTCGAAACGGATCCTTATTCACTTCAAGTGATCGAACACCCATTGGTGTACTAATGTGTGTGCTTTGTCTATGTAAAAGCATTTAAAGACCCTTTCTATATAGGCAGATTGATGGATAAAGATCTCGTCTGCTAAATATTCAATTTGCAAACCAAGATAAAATTTTATTTTTCCAAGATCTTTCATCTCAAATTCTTTCTTAAGATATTAAATTGACTTTTGGAGCTCTTCTGGAGTTCCAACAAGATTTATGTCATCAACATAAACAGCAAGTATAACATATTATGATGTCATTTTCTTTATAAAAATACATGGACAAATAATATTATTTATGTAACCTTCTTTCAGCAAATATTCACTGAGGTGATTATATCACATGCGCCCAGATTGATTTTAAACTGTACAAAGATCTTTGTAATTTGATCGAGTGCATTTCTCGAGACTTTGAATTATATGCTTCTAGCATTTTAAATCTTTCAGGTATCTTCATATAGATTTAATCAAATGAGTCATATAGGTTATGAATTGCACTTAAATGGCATGGCATCTTCAGGTGTCTGGACTACAGGTTTGATCCTCAAAATCTTTTACAATATTGTGCACCATATTATATCAAATATATCGTCGACGATCATTTTGTATCGGTTCGCAAGCGCATAACTTGTTGAGATCTCATCACTTTCTTTATTTTTAGGTACCTGAACTTCTTCTGGAGTTTCATAAAATATTACGTCGTGGGCTCTTCTAGAGCTTATTTCCTCCTTATTATGATCATTTTGATCATTTGCTCCTATCCTTTTCAAGGATTGTTACCTTTGGAACCGATTGGTCTACAACACTTCATGCGTACAGTAAACTATATCTTTCTGGGACTTTAATCTTAATAGGAGCATTTGTAGCTAAAATATGATATTTTATTTTGGATCAGCAAATGCTTCTGGCATTTGACTTGAATTATCTTTTAAGTGAGAATCATATTAATGATAATTCGATTCATATAGCATATTTTTCAGCTGTTTATTCCATCCTCCAAATGTTAGAAAAACTAGCATATATCCCCAATCTTCTTTGGGAAACCTATCTTTGTGCAATATGGTAGAGAAATTAACCATATACCACATATCAAACGTTATTAGATAGTAAAAATATTTGGTTTCTGATCTTAAACCATTTGTGAGGGGAGGACTTATTATATATTGTTGGTCTGATGCATACAAGTGTTGCTGTATGCAATTTAGAAAATCTTAGACCAATACGGAAAGCTTTGTTCTCATAAGAAATGATTTAGCCATTAACAGAAGACATTCAATGCTAAACCAGCTTGAATATACAAGCATTATCAAGATGAATTGTCTTGATAACATATTCTGAAAATTATACTCTTAATTGAGAAAATCAATTTCAAAGGCCAAACTACAGGTTGACAATAAAACACACACGTAACCATCTCATATATGCATCTATAAGTGGTTCACATGATAGGTGAATGGGCCCATATTCACCTTGTATATATTTCAGAATTTAGGGGTCTTAGTCCCAACTTTAACTGGTATAATCAATTTATTATGAGAACAAGCAAAACAAGAGAATTTTTGAAGAATCTTCTAGTTCTTCAATTTATGTTTATCATAATTCTCAATTAGCTCATCATATTTAAACCAGATGGTAAATGTAAACTTCAAGTTTATCATGACATGTGCTATCTTTTAGTAAACTTCTGGTTTACTATGACATAAACTTTTACATTAGTAAACTTCTGATTTACTGTGGCTACTTTTGTATTAGCAAATTTCTGTTTTACTGTAGCTATTTTTGTCGCAGTAAAACTTCTGATTTACTGTAACTGCTTTTGCATTAGTAAACTTCTGGTTTACTTTGATACATGATGTAGTACAAATTGAAGAATAAGGTGGGTAACTTCTCACATATATATTATTTTACCCCCCATGATTGCGGAAACATGAAGATTTTCAATCTTCTACTCATTTGTAGTCTCAATATGATGGCCATCTGTATTAGTAAACTTCAGGTTTACTGCAACATATGTTTTGATCATAATTATATAATATGAATATCATATTCATATATAATCTCTTCGAGAGCCTTCATTTATTATCCACAATCTAATATTTATCGGACTCTACTGGTGTCATGTGTCTTCTAAACAAACAGTTAGCTCTTTAGGAGCTTTTGATAGATTTTGTACTACCAAATATTGCTCAGACACTTCTGGTGTCATGAGAGAAAAACATAATCAAATGAATAATATAAAGACAATTCTAAATTTATAAATGATGAAAATTAAGAATTTTAATATTTTTACCACTACATAATATTTTCCTGCTTCAGGAGGAAATTTTAATTATTTACTACTTCAGGAAAAATTTGAAATATGAAATATTGAGAATATATTCTCTTAATCGTATTACCTCTTCTGGAGGTGAATCGTAATATATTTACATTAAGAGCGCGTTCATATTTAATATTGTCACATTCACTTCAGAAAATGTATTAATATTATCAAAAGTTCTCTTCTTTCAGGAGATAGAACATAATTATCTGAACGTGCATAATCACATCAAATTCTGATGCATTGAACCTCTTTTAAGTTATTTGCAACTTCAGAAGCAAATCGAGGTATGCATATGATATAGAGAATTTTCTCAAATGTATCTTCATTGTAACCATAACAAGCCTAAATTATGCTTCCACCAGTAGCATCATCTCCAACGGCCGCACCTGACCATGAAGAAGGCGTTCCTCTTCCACAGTCCCCAGTTCATGGGAATTTGGGATAA